CTTCACTGAACTGGGTGCCCAGTACTATGCAAACACGTAGGCAAGACTAAACTACTTACATTTAAACCTGTAACAGCAGCAGTGATTTAGGCTGATTACTCTGGGGGGCCCAGGACCGCAACTCACAGCTGAATGCCTCCCTAGTGCTCGTATTCAGTGCAAAAGGCAGCTGTGAATCTCACTGTACAATGGGGAGTCCAATATCCATGTTCAGTGCAGCTGGTTCAGCAAAGAACCACGATGTTTTACTGAGGCAATATGGAAAAGCACTTACGTTGACTTAAACAAGTTTTTCAAATTAACGCCAACTGTACAAATGTATCCTTAAACATGAATAGGCCTATATTTAAGTGAGGGAAAAAAAGCAATTAAAATGTTGAGCCTTTGAAGCTGCCATTATAATTACAAAATGAATGCTTTAGTGTCCTATTTTCCAATTCTGATACAAAGAATAGGCAATGATACACAGCAGCATGTATTCTGTGAAACACAAAAAGACAGTATTACTGACCAACACTAGTTCTAATGCACCTAAAAATCTTGACAACAGATACGCTGTAAAAAATAATTTGTCAACACAGATGGACTCCAACTGTGTGAGAGGAGTAAAACAGGAGTGAGCACCTGTTGTGGCTGCCTCCTGCTCAAGTATGGGGTCAATCGCTGGCAAGGAGAAGGCCAAGACAACACAGGACTCGACAGGTGCTGTATGGGACAATGTTATACGTCACTGTGTTATCTGAGTCTTGCCAGTGAGAGTGTATACACTTTGATCTGTTGGCATATGTCTGGGACATCTCAGGGCAAAGTGTGTGTGTGTGTGTGGTTGTAGCGGTGATAGGCTTGTATTCAACTCTTCAAGGACTAACAGCTCCAAACAGGAAGCACTGCCATGCAAGCACACCAAATGACATTAGAGAGAACAGGAGTTTGCCAGCTGGCTGAGTCTGTCTAACATGACTAGCTCTGAGGTCATCTTTTTGTGTATGTTGTTTAAAGTGTATCTGAAAGGAGCAGAGGATAAGAGTTGTGGCTGTGCTCTTTGTTCAGCCATTTCACCACACAATCTCAAATGACCAGCTCTTTTGTCTTGGTTAATGTTTCTTTGGTGATCTGAGCGTCGTTTCACAAAAGCACAATTAAGAAATGCAGGATACGATGAAAAACAAGGCTTGACCTAGTCTACCAAGTGCATCCTGGCTTAATAGGTTTCACGAAGGCTAAGCCAGGTTGAGGAGGTGCAGCTGGGTGATGCTCATTCACAGCTTCCTTCAACAGACCACAAGGCTGATCACACATTCACTGATGCTGACATAGAAGCTGCGTTCCATTTACCTGGGCCAGCATGCCTTGTATTAAGCAATGTAGTTAAAATTAACAGACACCACGCCTGACTGGCACTGTACTGGTTTTTGAGCATACCCATCAAAGACATGTCCGGCATATTTCAGACCCACTAAGCATGGAAGCTTATGGGGAATTCAAGCACATAAACTGTAAAGACACAGGGTTGCTGTAATAAAACAGCGAGAACAAGCACAGCGGCGGTAGCGGACCGACTGAATGCATTATGTCACCTAAAAATATACACTTTCTAACCACTGTTCTTAACTGAAACCATATGTTACTGTTTGTGGAATGACTCATAAAGGCTATAAATGTGGGTGTGTCTGTGTGTATGACGTCTAAAGAGGGTGTGACATTGTAAAGGAAGAAAAACATAAACAGTACATAGGACTTTATACAGTATATTCCTCTTATCACTGACCTAATTAAAGACACCTTTACAACTTTATCAGCTGTCTCTAATCATCTCAATTAACTTCAAACAACAATATGAACAGCAGTCTTCATAAACACAATCAGTAACAATGACTAGCCTATCACAAATTACAGACTAACTACAGAAAAATGCACCGACTTCCTGTCAGAGTGACTGCTGACAGAACAGAAATGGTGCCAGGATTAATCTAGCCTGATTGTTAGCCTGGCCTGATTAACTAGCCTTCTCCAGGCCAGGCTAACAAACAGAATAGATCTCCATGGTAACTTATGTGCCACTGCTTCTGTGAGGCCGAGTAAAGGCTAAATAACTGGAAAACCCAGGCTTAATCTGCTATCTAGGTTTTGAAAACAGCCCTTGGGCTGTGAAGACGACCACGATGAGCAAATACAGCCTATTTTTATGAGGTAAACAATTCCAGTGTGGGTTTGAACTAAACTTTGCTGTTCTACATGTGGGGAGAACACACTAAAACAAAATTAGGTCTTCAAGGGTACAAATAAAACCCAACTTAACCACACTACAGCTGGACCAGTTTAAACCCAATAAGACAAGCTAGGTTTCCCCCAAATGGTGGAAAGGGGTCCCGAGTTTTCCACTTTTGCTCTTTATGGGACCTGTAAAATCTGCCAGTTGAGCCACGTAGTTGAACGGTACAACGCTTATTAGGGCCAATGGCAATCTGTTAGCTTCTCTATGCCACACTCCCTCTTTCCTCACAGACATGCACACGTGCACACACACACACACACACACACACACTCACACTCACTCACACTCACTCACTCACTGTTCATCACTTGTGTGGACTTTACACTGACTTACATTCATTTCCCTGAGACTTACCCTAATCTTAACCATAACCACTACTAAGCCAAATCCATACAGTGTGAGTGGGCTCTGAGTTTTGGGTCCTCTCAAGTATAGAAAACAAGGCCAAACACACCACCCTGACTTCCAGAATAACAAGGGGGTCAGATGACTCTGGTCAGGCCCCTGAGCAGAAAGTAAGTGATCCTCTCCTCCCTTTATAACAAAAGCATGGTTCATAAATTGCCACAAAGAGATGGTGCATAAACATGCAGAAAACTCTGCTCAAAGTCAAAATCTTTTGTTTTTATCGGGAGCCTTTGAGATACTTTTTTCTTCTGGATACCAATTCTGTTACCTAAACTCAGAGTACTGGCTGATGATGGGATACCAATTGATACCAGTGCTCTTTGCGCTTTTTAGTACACATCGTTGTATCAAACCAATTAATGTGATTCATGTTATGTCAGATAACAGGAGGTTAAACATCGCTGCAACTATCTGTCACTTTTTAAGTATACTGTATGTAGGTACAATATTAGGTAACATTTTTAAATGCTGTTGTTACAGAAGCTTAATAAATATGTGTTTATATAGACAGGACTAATCTGGATCAGTTACATCATCCTAACATGGGGTACGTTTATTGAAGTCAGCCTCAGCACACTGCTCTCCTATGCTGGATTTCAACATCACAAGCTCCCGTAGTCCCCTTTGAAGACGCTAAAAGTTAAGCAAGAGCCTTAACTGCAGTGACGTTTAACCTCCTTCAATCACCTCATCATCCACCTATAACCTGTGCCTGACTTGGCACATCCATGTGATCAGGAGGTCACAGCCTGTGGGACCTCCTGTGACAGGATTATTATTGTTAGATGCACATGTCCAGACATGTTTAGCTCTTCACCTCAAACAGGACACAGCTAGGAGCCTCCACCCAGCATCAGAGCAGTGAAATTGGTCTACCCTGTGCTTTACTTGACCTTGCCGTGGCCCAGGCTACTAAGTAAACAGCTTCTCTCACTTCTCTTTGCTCTCAGAGAAAGGGACTGCAGAAGTAAGAGAAGGAAGAAATCTGGCCTATGCACACCCTGGTCTCTCCACCAAAGGATCAGTGCAGTATGTTCCAAATAACAATAGCACCACAGTATCTGCCAGTCAAATAGGGAGCTACTGCTGTGGAGCAGCTTCTACTGGCACAAACTTTTCATAAGCTGACATGGTGACAATCCATGAAGGGTGAAAAACAGACACACTGTAGTGTGCCAGAGGCCAACTGTTCTCAGTCTTTGTCACTCATTACAGACATGCATAAACACATAGTATTTGGTTGTAAATGATCTTAATATCTCCCAGACAGTAGTTTTGCTGTTCATAGCTGGCCCAGCATGTGTGCTGGATTATTAGGCTATATTTACACTGTCCAGTGTCACCCAGCATGGACTTTAGTCTGGCCAATCATATCACACTGATGTCTGGGTCTGTGCTTCTATATAAAGAATCATACAGGCAAGGCTAGGGTTAAAAGTCTAGGCCCATATCAGGCACACGTTTACTGTGTGTTGTGGAGAGTACCATTACTAGCACACTATGCTCTAAAGAAGATCCCACTCAGGCAAGTCAGCAGCCTGACTGCAGTTTCATAACCAATGCAAACACACAGACTACAGCTAATCTCATCACGACGACAGAGAACAGTGGACCTTCACTGCTTCCATGTGTGATGCTGTTTTGTTGCTGACAACAAATCAAGTCACTAGTTCCCCTGGATGACAAAGAACCATATACAATCAGTCAGTACAATGATCTTTTCATTCACATAATAAAGGAGATTATACAACACTTAAATGTTAATTGTGTCAGGGCAGAGCTTAAGGTATTGAGATACAAATTAACGCAGTGGTCAAATTAGCATTAACCACACTGATACAAACGAGGGCGTCCCCTCTGTCCCTGTTTCACCTCCTGCTGCAAATACGATGACATGTAAACAGGTTGCAGAACATACGGCTAGAGCCTTATTTCCACAACAGGGTAGATGTCAAGAACATTTTGCAGCTGCCCTGTGCTGGAGGCTGTCAAAACAAGAGCTACTGGAAAAGGGAATGGTATTGGGTATGAGAAGATCTTGGGAGAAAGAAAAAGCTGACATCTGTGTTAACATTCACAACGAGCAGCAAATGTGTGTCGTTCATACACGTCCTCATTTACTCAGGTCAGGCTTGGTTAATTCACATAGCCGGTGACCAGGCTGACCAGCTGTTATAAAATTCCCTGGCCTGATTCATCTCCTGGGAGAGACGGTACAGTAAGTCCACTCAAGCTGGAAATGCACAGCTTGCCCACACAATGACCATCAAGTACATACCTGAGATGTGTCTGTGTGTGTTTTTGGTGCTCCACATACCTCGCTCGGGCTTCATGTTGTCCAGTGTCATCAGGTTGCCTTCAGGGTCTCTTGTAGGGTCCTCCCACTCTTCTCTGTTTCTATCACACACACAGCTTTGGCAGCAACACAACGGTGTCTGGAACCCCAAACCCTCTGTGACCGAGACCTGCTGTATGAGCTAAGCAATAATATCAGCTGTGAAGCCTGTGTGTTGGTGCCAGCTGCCCCCTATCCAACAACAAAGCATTGCTTTGTTAGCATGCTACTGTACGCTTCCATCGAGTCACACTGTATTGTCCAACTGACTCACACAAAGACAGCTGATAGCGAGTCTCTGTTACAGTCAGCTTTAGGTAATGGAGCTGTTTGCTAGCAAGTAGCCAACCTGATTACTAGTACTGGAACTAGCAAAGCTGGCTACTCTTACAGTCCGTCTCAAATTCCACCACCTGAACCATAGTTAAGTCGCGATGCATTTCTATCTCCTCTCCTCTGGTAACGCTGGCACTTCACAGCGACACAACGGGGGCTTGCTAACTCAGCAGTGTTAGCGAGATAGCAAACTCAACCAACTAACCGTGTCGTTACTCTGTGAATAAGCGTCTGCCGATGAGGACGACCCCTCCAAACATCCCAGCCCCCAATGTAGCGCAGGTAGCCACAGCTCAGCTACAGACACCGATGCCAATGACGGACAGCCTCGGTATATTTTGCTACGAATAGCACATACTCGGGATATCATTCGTCTCACGAAATGCTGACCGATAATATCAGACGGACATGGCACCCTTCCTATCAATCCTCAGCGGTCGAACTGTCGCCATCTACTTAACATTAGAAACTCCGCCTGTATTGACTTCCTTTGTGATCTTCACTAAAACTTTTCAAACCAACAACAAATAGCCCGACTCAGCTCCAACGCCTCGGTAACGACAGCGACGATTCCTGCAAGCGTTTTACTGAGACTCGGTCACTAATTTGCCACCGACAAGCCAGCTCATTGCTAAAACTAGAGGAATAGGTCGATGCCAATGTCTTTCAGGCGAAATGCAGATAAAAGGAACTGTGGGTCCTCCTCGTCGTGATGCTTATAGTGTGCCTGCCCTCCTCACCTCCTTCCCTGCCTCTTGTCAAAACAGATCAGTGCAGCTCCAGTCACGTGTCCCAACAACAGTCCCACTCGTCACTTCCCTCTCCCGCATGAACCCGCAACCATAGCAACCACTAAGTTAGAAGTGGTATCAAAACTTCTGAGGAAGACTGACTTTATCTGATTAAAATAGATTTGAAAATAAAACCCTTTAATATTTTTCTTTACATTTCTGTAAATTGTGTGGCAACGAATAGGCCGGTGTAAGGAGGACAAGGGGACAAACAAGCGATGAGCTACTCTCTATAAGCTGATTGGTCAATGGAAGTTCGTGCGTGCTTATGTGCGCACGTGAGGGTTCGTTTTCTTCTGCCGTGAACATTTTGTTATGGCCTGCTAGGTGTTGTGCCAAAAAGTGACTGCCTGCCAGGTGTTGTGCCAAAAAGTGAATGCCTGCCAGAAAGTGATTGCGACATGCATCGTCAGTTTACTTACACGTACTGTACAGATGCTTTTGTTGTGATCGAAATGTAGTAAAGTGCAAAACAGACCTTTTGATAGTACGGTATATGTTTGTATAACTTGAACTTTGAGGACATCATAAGGGGATAATCATAGGCTAATTATGGTCTTAAAAACTAGCTGTTTAGAGTGTAATCAAGTCTTATTCAGTAGTAACCACTGCTTGTACAGTATATTCTATAAAGGCTGTACTCAGGTGATATACAACATTTGCCTGTGACAGAGGTCAGTTTGTTTCTGCTGCAGTGTTTTACTCAACCCTAATAAAACAACTGCTCACATAGGTATGTCAATCAACAGCCACTTTCAGGAGCAAAATATTTACCATGTTAGTACATTTATTCATAAAAAAGGTTATCTACAGGCTATTTCATATACATTCTCCATATAACATACTGTATTTGGGATTAGACTCTAACATTAGCCTGATGTCAGCTATATCCTAAAATAAAAATAAAAATATCCACTTTACAACTGTGTATTTTTGTGTTTTAGACTATAAAGCATCTAGTCTTTTATGACAGATTAACAGCATATAGTAGCCAACAACCAAAAAGTCATTAAAGCTGATATCTTTATATTGAAAGTAGTTTTCTGCCTCAGTTTACATTTATATCAGTCTTGTGCATTAAACCATCCTGTCTGCTCTACCAGTTAAAGTACCTCCAATGATCTACCTCAACCAGTAAAATACTTTTTTTTTCTTGACAAAAAGTGATTACAGCTAATCTTATGTTACTGAATGGGCTTTTCTGCCCCAGATTCAATTTATATCACTTTTGTGTTTTAAAGATTATGAACTATCTAGTTTAAGTAACCTTAAAGAGCCAGAACAACTAATGTAGTTTCCTCCTTGCCAAAAAGTGATTAGTATAATTAGTAAAATGAGGCAGTATAAACTGGGAAAACGGCCTGCAGCGCGCTCCTATGGACCGCAGTCAGTTTCTCATGACACCAGCTCACATGAAGCCAAAAAACTTGTGCTATTGATAATGCCATTGCATATTGTAAGACAAAATCCCTTTGTGCAGAGAAACTTATAAAGTCACAGACAAGTCACTTGCAATAACTGTTAGTTTAGGTAGTAAATTTTAATTCTTTGTGACTGCTAAAACAATTTTCACTTGTGTATGTTGTAGTCTATTTCATGCAATAATATTTCCTTCATTCTTAGGTTGTACTGCAGTTGTACTTTGTGTGTTATTATTGTTTGCTGCACACAGTTTGGTTTAAACATTAAAAACAATAGTCATTATTATTATTATATTTGGTATATTCTAATGAAAAAGTTTTTAAAAAGCCATAATTGTTGACTTTGTTATTTTATTTTATTTTATTTTAGGAATGAGTGCTTTCCAGACAATTTGCAGTAAGCCTAATGAATCTCAAATGAGCTGACTTCATTTCTGATACAGGACACAAGTGACCCAGAGAATGTAGGGTCACAAAGTCAACAATATCAATACAAAAATCTGCCAGCTGTGTATGGGCCTTTAACTGACAAGGGAGCAAAGTGTGTAAAGTCTACTGCTGCCGATTTACAATAACATGACGTGGAGGGTAAAACCAACTATTGTTTATAACAATGTGGTTCCTACAATTTTTGAGGAGTCATATGAAGCTTTATCACCCAGTCCATGGTCTTGCACATGACCAACCCAACTGACATACAGCCATCCTATTCAAATTCTATTTGGACACAGCTGTGTAAGCATTGTGTGGTAGCAGGGGGCAGCCATGTCAGATCCACTGTTCCTGAATAGTTACAGTGATATTGACCACATGCAATATGACAATAATATTAGTTACATGATTAAAGAGGAGTTCTACAATAAAACTGATTCAAATTGCTTTTATATAATATCAGTTCTAACTTGTAAAAAAACAGTAATTCTCTCTGTAAAATAAAAAGTAGACAGATCTGTGATTGAAGTGCATTGTAAACATCAAGTAAAAGAATCAGCCACGAATGACTTTCACTCCATTTTTAAAAATGAAGATTAACCACTTTGAACCGCACTGCTGTTTGAGTTGTATATTTTCCTGTTAAATGGCTAATCACAACCCCAGCCTATCCTGCTACAGTTTTTTTTTTAAGTCAACTTAAAGTCTGTGACAGCTAACACTTTGTGTAGTGATTTGCAATGGCCTGCAACATGCTGTGGTTAGTCTGATAGTGCCATTTAGAGAACGACCTGAGCCTTTAGAAATATTGCATTGCTGCAACACAAAGCAGTCCCCCTGTTTGGGAAAACCATGGACTGTACATAAAAACTGGACAAACCCACCGTGACGTCACCCATTGGTTTTCTGAAGAGAGGGTTTGAAGCTCAAGTCGCCATACTGGCAGCGCGTCACTTCGTCTTCTCGGTCTAATCCAAAAATGGGCAAAGAGGTGGAGCTCTCTAGACAGCTGGTGGTAAGCCACCTATGGCGGGTTAGGGTTAGGGTTAGGGTCACTCAAAGTGGCCACGCCCTTAATTAAATAGTAACTTTTAGTCTCAATAAAATTTAAACAGACAAGTTATAAAAAAAATCCCCCTCCCGCCTACCGTTGTCATGGAAGGGGAAATTAGCTATAGAGACTAAAACTTTTTTTTATGCCAGGCTGTAAACATGGTTTTTTCTGCTGTAGAGTTGGGCAGTTTAACATGGGAGTCTAAGGGGATTGACTTCCTTTTGGAACCAGCTTCAAGTGGCCTTTCGAGGAACTGCAGGTTTTAACACTTCTGCACTGGCTTCATTTCTGATCCTCGTAGGTTGCCGCTTGGGGAAAACCCATGATAGTGCCCCATCTAGTGACAGGATACGAGTAGTGCAGCAAATAAAATGGAAAAAGCACTATTCATTAACTGCAATCTATCTGCCTATCTGTCTGTCATGGCACATGCACCTGAGATTAAGCAGTAAGGACATGTAGAAAGGTGTTGGGACTTTCTTGGGTCACTGTACTATGACCCCTCACAGGAGTTACTTTGATTCAACACACATAAAGAGACCCTCAGCAGAAAGAAGAAAGAAATAATATCATGATTTTGTTCACAAATGCAGATTTAGGATTCTTATTTATGTCTTTTTGTCAAGTAGTGTTCACCACGCTAATTGTCTTTTCACATATAGTCCAGCTGAAATGCCTTAAAGAAATGTAAGGTAAACGTAAAGAAAAGTATTTTTCAGCATGGCTCTGTGACAAATTTGACAAAGCTTAGGTCCAATTGTAAACCCAACCAGAAGAGAGACTACTGTGAAGAGATTATTCTACTATGAGATTACTGTAAACCTTCTGAAAACCTTTGCATCTCTCTAACCCTCTCTTTATTATCTCGTGCACATGGGCATCCAAGTTTGGGCTTATCCTCCCTGTCCTCTCTTTCCTGGCTCTTTTTCCTTGTCTCAGTTTTTCCCTTGTCTCTCTTTCTCCTCAGTGTGTTTATTTCCTTCTGCCTTTGTGTGAGAAGGGTTGTGCATTTGTGTAGTCTGTCCTCTGTCCAGATCCTCATTGCAGAGAGGAGGTTGTGTAGCTCGGGTCTGTCAGCAACACCTGGAAGTTGTGGGACATCCTCCTGGATCATGTTTTTCATATATGTTTACAATCTATAATGTGTCATTCTGCTTTTTCATACTGTAAATCTATGTGCTCTATAATCTGCACACACAGCTACTGCACGTCTGTCCAGCCTGTAACAGGGATCTCTGTTGCCCTTCCTGAAGTTCCTTTCATCTTTTTTCCCAGTTAAAGGGTTTTTTCTTTATCTTAAATGAGAATCTACTGTATGAGGACAGAGGGTGTCCTATGCAGTAAAGCTTGTAAAGCCCCTTGAGGCAAATGTAGGATTTGTGATATTGGGCTTGAAATTCAAGAGCTGTAGTGCAGTGGCTTGTTTGGATGATAAACTGAAGAAATGATGTAACTGGGCATCAGTTTTCTATGTTTGCAAATTGAGCCTTGAGACAAACTTTACCATTAACCAATCGTTCCCATCTGACATGATAAAGTTTATCTCAAGGCTTTGAAACAGTGAGTAATATGAGTACTACAGTAACAGATTTATTTGTGGTGTTGAACACCGCAAAGAGAGGGAACCAACGTGGAAAAGTTATTTACATGCTACTGTTATTGCTGAGTTCAGTTAGTGAAACTACTCGTGTGGATGTTTCAGCTGTGTGTGGTTTCATTGTAAATCTGTATAGCTGAAGGTCAAATATGGCCAAAATGATGATCCATGTTACATTGCTCTTTTATTAGTTATGATTTTCATTCTTAAAAATTACTTAATGGGGCACACTGTCTAGCTTGTTTCACTTGTCTTCAATTGAAAAAAGTCAGTTACTGATTCACATGTAAGGATCACAACAAAGCAGTGGGCTGTCTGAGTTGGCGGTTCCATTGCCATTGGTGCTATCAGTAGTTTATGTATTTAGGTTGGCATGTGCATTCATTGCAATGTAAATTGTTAAGGTGGACCCACATCACATTACACTGCAGTATAATGAGATGAGTCAAGAGTTTGCCAATAACTTTTACAAGATACTGTATGTGGTTTTTAACTATTGATTGGTTTAAGCAGCTAAATATTTCCAAACTTATAGATAACATTTATTACTAAGACATGTAAATGAACCTTTTAACCCTGACGGTAGGCCTGTGACGTAGTCTATCCACTGATCTTCTGAAACCACTTGTCATGCAGGTTGCCATCCGAGACAGGCTCATGTGCCTGCTCATCTTGTCCTCTCCTCCCTTATCTGATTTGATGTTTCATTGATTCAATTTGCTTGTTTGAGTAAGAAACAACTCACACACACACACACACACACACACCAAAAATAAAACAATCATAATAATAAGAGTCAAGGTTCAGAAGCTGGAAATACCAATAGTTTATTTTCTACTTTTTGTGACTACAGAAATGTTGAAACATCTGAACACTGAAAAAAGCTGGATGACATCATCACATGCTTCTCAATTTTCTTTCTTTTTTTAAAATTTGCTTAGCAATCACAACAGATGATATTGCACGGCACTGAGAAAGCAGTAGCAAAACCTGGGAAACGGCAATGACAAATCAAGTCATGAGACATGGAGTTATACATCTGAGAGTAACACCAACAGTATTGGCTCTCTGGCACACATGCACGCACACACACTTGCAAGCTCACACACATTCTGAAAACTGAAGAAGCACTGTGAGTCGAGGAGGAGGTCGGAGCACAGGGCTGACAAGGGCAATGAAATTTTATTTTGAAATTCAAGTGCAAGATGAGCTACTTCTGTAATTTATTCCTAAATGTCTATGACAACAAATATGCTTGTTTATCAAAACCCTTTAAGCATCCTTGTATATGAATAGCTGGAGGGCACCCCTCTGTGGGTGAGAAACTAGTTCCCCAGCGTAAGAAATCCAGATGATTGTCTTAGGCGCTGCAGTATTGTTATGAGACTTGT